AAAAAAAAAAAAAAAAAAAAAAAAAAAAAAAAAAAAAAAAAAAAAAAAAAAAAAAAAAAACTCCAACACTCAACTAAACTCAAATAAGGGTTAAAGTTTGGTTGGATTGTAAACACTATTCAAGTTGTTTGAGTCACCAACCCAATTAACTCTAATTAATCTTAAAAAAATAATATAGGTTATGGTTAAGAATTAAATTCCAATGAATTATAAAATTAAAATGAAATCCATGCTCATAATTAGCCACAAAAACACATATATATAATTAAATATAAATTTGATTGGTGTAAAATTTTAAAAATTAATTCTTTTTAAAAGATATTGAATAAATCAATGACTTAATTGAAATTTAAGAGATTTTTGGTATTTTTAAATAGAATTAAAAATTAAAAAAATATTTAAAATATTTTTAAATTTAGAGATCCAATAATACAAACTAAATAAATTTATAAATAAATCACATCTTTCATTATCACATTAAATAACTCAGTTCTAGACAATTTAGAATTAATTTTCAAATATCAAACATTTGTTTGTTTTGAAATGACATAACTTCGTGATTAAAATAATATTTTGCTCTCGAATTAAATTAGTTAAATTAAATATTTTTTTTGAAAAAAAAAAGTGCAAAATTGAAAGAAATGTGGATGAAATTTGTAATTTAATTTTTTTTAAGAAATATGATTTTTAAGATAGAAAATATGAGTGAAGGGGCATTTGAAACAGAGGAGAAAAAGACCTTTGTGAAAATTCCAACGCCACATTCCATGGCCATCTTAGCCAAGAACAAGTCGTCCGCCAGAAGCCGTTCTTTGAATCCGCCGAACTGCATCAACCACCGCAACACCGCCGATTTCTCCATCTCCAAGAATCTCTCCACGATCACCGCCGGTACTCTCCCCGCCGCAATTGCCGCCGCCAGATCCTTCGGCAAACTCTCTGTCGACCTCCCGGCCTCCGCCAGCACCGCAATCGCCTCCGCTCTGTTCTTCTCCCGATCCTCCTCCTCGCCTCCTTCGTGTCCGTCGCCGCCTCCACCACCGCCGCCGCCTCTGTCATGTCCTCCGGGTGGAATTCCACCGGATGAAGCGAATGCGACGGAGATTCCGAGGCTTCGGCGACGGCGAGGAGAGTGGAAGCGGAGAGATGGAGCAGTGCAGGTTCGGCAGGTGAGAATGTAAGTAAAATTCAGCGGAGGTGAACGGCGGAGAAACGGCGACGGTGTGGAGAGATTAGTGAAATTTCGGATCGCCATTTCTTTGCCGGGAGAATCTTCAGAGAGAGAGAGAGAGAGATTGGGATATGAAAAGGCTCTCTGTTTGTTGTGGCTGAGAAAGTGCTGAAATAAACAGAGAGATTGAAACTCACTCATAAGTTCAATTCTTTCATACATTTCCATAATTAAATAATAAAAATTCCAATTCTCACATTTTTTTTCCTATTTATTTATTTTAATTTATTCCATTACTTTTGAATTATTAAATACCTTTACCATTATTAATTATATATTAATGATTTCGATACCGTCTTTTTTTTCTTTTATGATTGGTGGATGGTTGTATATTTTGTCAGTTTATTTCCTGACTTTAAACTCCAAAACTCGAATAAAGTATGCTATAGAGCTTCACCTGAGCCTCTCCTTAATCGAAACTCGACTTATTTCTTCGAGTCTTCTAACAAAGTACACATTTTGTTCGATACTTTAGTTACTTTTGACTATACCTTCAATGCTCACATTTGAGGATTCTATTGATATGGCTAATTTTAAGACATGACTCTGATACCATATTATAAATCACGAGTTTACACAAAGGTATAATATTCAACATATGCTCTTATAATTTTGTTTTGGGCTTCACAAAACGCCATAGTATTTCTTCTTATAAATTCATGATCATTTCCTAAATATCCCAATAATATTCCAACTCATATCATCATTTTTTTTATACTATTTTTAAACACGTGAGTTATATATATTATACTATTTTTAAACACATTATTTATAATATGAACAAACTAATAATAAATAAGACAGATGTACAATCTTTTAATATTTATTATTTATCTTTTTGAATATTTTTTTCCTCTAAAATTGTATTAAATGATTATGTAGGAGGAATATAAAAGTTAATTTTTGGTTACTATTTAAAAACTCAATTTTTTTTTTTTTGGTCCAACAAATTTTCTTAACCCAATCTAATCCAACTTGTGTACATCAAGTAATTAAGGGACATTACGATATTTCATTCTTAAATTTGTAAATAATAAATTTTAATCTCAAATAAAAAAAAAACAACATTAATTTGTGTTAAAATAAAATGAAGGATAGAGAGTTTAGGGTTTAAATAATAATAATTTTTATTTTTAAAATGGTGAGTAGCTATTTAAGGGATAAATTAATTTTGAAAATTAAGAGTAATTTAATATTTCAATAACTAAAAATGTAATTTATGTTTCTCTTATTTTTCTTTAACCGCTTATTAAATTTTAATTCAAACTCTTTTTAACAAATAATTTTAATTCCCTAAAATTACTGAAAAAAGAAAGAAAAAAAAGAAAAGAAAAGCATAACAGATACCAAATAACAAATCACGACACGACAACATTCCACGTCGTCAACTTCGAGAGACCGTGGCCACACACGTGTACATTCGGACGAGATCATCACCACATGTACACTTGTCTTATCATTAAAAAAATATTTTTTATTTTCTAAATTTTAAAGAACATTTATGCTAAATAAACAATAATGCATTAAGAAAGAATTAATTGAAAAAAAATAAATTAAATTTATCTCAAGAAAAAATGTTTAGAAATTTTTTTTATCAGTAGAAGAAGAACTTTGCAACCTCACTCTCCATCAATGGCGGCTTGTAATTCCACTTCTCCTTCTTCCCTAATGTTCACTTTCTTTCGTTCACAACCAAAATCTCATCTCTTTCAAGGGGATACTCCGATATTCCACCATCAAATCCTTCTCCTCCTGCCATTTTCTTTGCAGTCCTAGGAGATCAGATGATTGGGTATTGCTTAATTTTCAGAGACGAGCGAGGCACCATGTGATCGTCGCTGCTCTCGCCGCCGCCGTGAGTGTCGCCGAGGTGGACGCCGAAAAAAACGAGGGGGTCGTTGCGCCTAAACCTAAGAAGGGAAAACCCGCGTTGCCCCTTGAAAGAGATAGAGTATGTTCCAAAATCTTGTAATGTTTGATTTCGGTGTGATGATTGGATTGTGGATTGTGGATTGTGTTCTGTTTCATGGTTGTGCTTGGAGGGGATTGTTTTCAAGCTTAGAAATGGAGGAATTTATTGTATGATATGTCAGAGGAGATCCAGGAGATTCTTGGAAATTCAAAAACCGAGGGAAGACAAAAAGGATTATGACCTCCAAACAGCTATATCTCTGATCCCTTTACTGTTAAGAGAAGTTATAAAGAATGTGCATATCATGAGGTTATTTTATTTGAATGCTCTTATACAGGTAAGTGTAGATATGTTCTAATGATCATTTATGAAAGTTGTTCTTAAAAATAATTCTGAAAATAGTTATCTTAGTTAGACAAGCCCAAGCCATCTCGATTGCAACCAACAAACTTTCTTGAGTTATCTTCGTGTTGAACTTTAATGTAACGACCAAGCTCAACCGCTAGCAGATATTTTCCTCTTTAGGCTTTCCCTCAAGATTTTTAAAACGCCTCTTCCAGGGAGAGGTTTTCACACCTTTGTAAGGAATGTTTCGTTGTCCTCCCCAGCCGATATGGGATCTCACATTTATTTAGGCAATAGAGATTCTATCATAATTTGAAGTTTGCACCCTCTAGTTGAGGTCCATGGATCTAGAATAGGGTAAAATCCAGTCTTGTGCCACTTCGATCTTGGTCGAACCAAATCGTTGGTTCTTATGCATCTAGATTCCTTTTTTCTTGAGTGGTAAGGACTTTACTGTTTAGGGTGAAATCCTAAAAAGTTGAAATGAACATACAGGTGAGAAATTTGATGAAGCAAAGAATGCTGGAGCTGATTTGGTTGGTGGAGAGGACTTAATAGAACAGCTAAAAGGAGGATTTATGAATTTTGACCAATTGATTGCTTCCCCAGACATGATGCCTAAGGTATTGCTCTGAATGCATTGCTTTAATTGTTCTTTCATTTATCTTTTGAGATTTTTCTAACTTTCACTTTTCCTAAACAAGCTGCATTACTTTACAAGATGAACTAGCTGGTTAGGACTATATTGATGATCGATCCTGCTTATGTAATGCAGAAAGAAATAACGAGTAAGAGACATAATTACCAACGGGTTTATCACTCCTCGAATTTGTTAATCATGCTTGCCTTCTGGCTGTATCGATCCATTTTTTGATCATGCTTGCCTTCTGGTCTTGTCTATTTATCGTAAATGCCCCGAGTATTACTAAGAGTAAGACGATATAGTTGATTTCATATTTGAGTCTTCTTTCCTTATTTCAGGTTGCTAGCCTCGGGAAGCTCCTAGGGCCTCGAGGACTCATACCGAATCCAAAAGACGGTACTGTATCAACCAATTTGCTTCAGTTATCGATGATTGTTTTCTATACCTGCATTGCATCCAGATTTTATGTCTATCCATTGGGCAACCTTGATTTCAGGCAATAGCAGAATTCAAGAAGGGGGTAAAGTTGAGTACAGAGCAGATAAAACTGGTATAGTTCACTTACCATTTGGAAAACCTGACTTCAGCAAAGAGGACCTTCTTATAAACTTGTTGGCTGCCATAGTATGTTCTTCACTTCGCTCTTTAGCTGTTAGTCTCTAAAGACACGTCTCCCACATTTTCAATAAGTCATTTTCTTCGAACTCTGACAGAAATCAGTAGAAACCAATAAGCCATCTGGTGCAAAAGGTGTATACTGGAAGAGCGCTCACATATGCTCGTCGATGGGGCCTTCAATTTGGTTAAATATAAGGGAGATGTTAGATTTCGAACGTCCCTCGAGCGCTTGATGAATAACAGACCTGTACAGCTCTTATGTTTGTTGAATCAGCCTCTTGGGGGATCCATTGGAAGATAATGGTGCCCATATGTGAGCAACATTGAAAAGAGGATGATAAAAGAAGCTAGGAAGAAGAGTCAGGAGATATCAGATAGTTATTGACTACACAGAAACAAGCATACTGCATAGTTTTCTCTACCGACTCACTTTGTATTAATGGTGTTAGGTTCTTATGGATCTACCACGCTTTGATTGACCTCTTGCCAAGGGGGGAAAAAAATGATAAATGTACGCAATTGTATTGACCAGCTGCTGCTCTTTAATTTGGGACATTTCGAAAGTGGTTGTTTCTTATGGGTTCGTCGCAAAGGAGCATTTGGTATGCAAATACGTTTGGTTGATTTAACTTTCACAATTTGTGCATATTATGTTTTGATATGCAAATATGTATGACATGTTTTAAAACCTTAAAGGGAAGTCTAAAAGGGGTAGCTCAAAGAGGATAATATCTACTAGCGGTGAGCTTAAGCTATTACAACTGGTATTAGAGCTAGAAAATTGGCGATTTGTCAGCGATGATGTTAGACTCTAAAAGGGTAGATTGTGAGATCCTACATTGGTTGGAGAGGAGAATGAAATGCTTAGAAGGGTTTGGAAATATCTCTTCAGGAGACACGTTTTAAAACTGTATGAAAAACCTAAAACTGTATGAAAAACCTAAAATAGATAATATCCTGCCGTTTCGAGTATATGGAACTTTCTTGCACTTCAAGCTTCTCCCAGCAATTTTACTCTCAAACAACTATCTCTGTGTTGTCGTGCCTCCCATGGTAGAAGATGATTTAATACATTTGAAGTCCCCCTTTGGTTGTTGAATTCCTTGAAGGATTGATCTTGATGCTAAATCTATCTACTTGGCCGATTTTTCTTCACACCCTTTTCTCGAAGGATGTGAATGCTTCAATAGCATCCGCACACATTGACATCCATCCTTTTGATCCTTTTATCCATTCGCGACAAGAACAAATATCAGAATCCCAAGTGCTAAAAAAGCCCAAACTTCTTAAAAGCCTTTCCCATTCTCGCTTCTTTCCCTTCTCTGCTTATGGCCACTACCAGTAGCTTATGTTCATTACCGGCTCAATCCCCAACCCTCCCATCCATTTCTCTCTCATCACTTCCATCGCTCAAAACCCATCTTCCCCAACAACCCCATTTCACCATTTCCCCTTTCTCCACCAAATTAGCACCCAATTTCATCAGCAATGATACACTAACCCACCCACCGCCGTCGGAGGCGGCGGCGGTTCTGGCGGTAGAAGCGGCAAGAGAACATGTTCTGGTGGAAGCCGGATGGCTTTCCAAGGATTGGAGATGCAAAAACCTTGAGAAAATGGAGCAGAGCTGTGGGGGTGATGGGAATGTAGCTTGGAAAAAGAGGAGAAGGAAAAGGAGGAAAGAGGTGGGGGAGACAGCCGAGGAAAATTGGGTTGCTTTGTCCAGTGGCCCCTTGAGACCTGGACATTTGAGCTCAAAAGAAGAAGCAGAGCTTTGTCTGTGTCTAAAGGTGAGTCCTAGAAAAAAAATTCATAAGTTGTTCTTTAATCCTTGTCTATGCCACCATTTACTTCTCTTGAGAGCTTTCTTGAGGGGAATACATATAATTTGTATGCAAAAGACTGCAGAACTCTCTTCTTCTCCTTTATAAAGTGCTTTTAAGGTATCATAGTAGAATTTAGTTTGTTGCATTAGTATCCTTTAAATCATGTAAAAGTGTCTGCCATGTTCATATGTTAAAGAAAGCTTCTGCATATTATAAACTCTTCACAGGAGGCAGCACAGATTGAAAAGACAAAAACTAGAATCATGGAGACTCAAGATCATGAACCTACAAATAAGCAATTGGCCATTGCCATGGGCACCAAATTAGGGTATATAGATAGAGTTCTCTGGAGGGCAAGAGAATCGAGAGATCGACTCATTCGATGCTATAGCAAACTAGTCATTTCGATTGCAGCTCCATATCAGGGCAAAGGGATTAGCCTGCAAGACCTCACTCAGGTAGGTTAATGCACATATTACTCTCTTTTGGATTGTTGTTTTCTGTAGTATGCTGAAAGGTTTTATTTGTTTTTTGTAGGAAGGGAACATTGGTCTTCTTAAAGGAGCTGAAAGATTTGAACCAAATAGAGGACATAAATTATCAACTTATGCTTATTGGTGGATAAGACAAACTATCATTCAAGCGTTGGATAAAAAGTCGAGGCTTGTTCGACTGCCGGTAAGATACTGCCTCAATTCTCATTTGTCACATTTTGATTGTCATGTAGAAGTTTCAAATCATATTTAGTTTTTTATGCAGATTTTGCATTTGTAGTTATGGCACTTCTGAATACATTGAACATAAGAACATAATTTGTGTCCTGTTTACCTTTCTTTTATTCATTTATAGGGTCCTGGTCAGTCACTTTTCTGGGCCTAGATCGATAAGTGGAAGTCATAGAAAAGAGATCTTTCTTTTTGTATCTCAGATCAAGAGGAAGGGTAGCTTCTTAAGCTGATCTATATATATTTATATATATAAAAGGATTCGCTGTCTTTTAACCATATGTTCTTCTTTGTCAATGCTACATTGGACCTAAAGGAAAAGGCGCTACTTAGCCCTACACTAGTAGAAGTCAGCGGCAGAGTTAGCCTACTAGAAATCGCTCGTCCTAGGTTCTATGTTTATCAGTAGGCTTCTATGATAAAAAAATTTTTGTCATTACCCGTTCGGTCTTATTTTACTTCATTGGAGGCCCTTTTTGTGGGTTTCCTCCTTTTATGGGCTCTCTTTTTGTATGCCCTTGTGTTCTTTCATTTTTTTTTTCATTAAAAACTTGGTTGTTTGTCAAACTAAGTTGGATTTATGACGAGAATCATATCGAAACAATAAGAACAAGATGTGCCAAGGCGATAAGGAAGAGCCTTTTTGTTATATAACCTTTTTTCACAAAAAATGGAAAGGTAATTTCTACGAAGTTTTGTTAGCTTAGGATTTGAAGTATGGGAAGGTGAACGGGTAATAATTGAATGCTTGGTTAGCTCGCTGTGTGCAGGGTCACATGGGTCAGATGGTAGCAAGAATAGCAGAAGCAAATAATCATCTTGGCATAAAGTTATCACGAGTACCCACCCACAAGGAAGTCGCTAAGTATCTGAAAGTTCCTGTTTCAACTGTAAGACTGGTTACAGAAAGGAGTAAGCGTCCGATTTCAATCAATCGACCAGTAAACGACCGAGGTTGCTTAACCCTGCAGGTACCTTTTTACTTAAGTCGAGCTTAGTCTTTTACTGAAGGAATACTTACGTTTTTGTTTTTCTTCATACCTGCTGCTACAATGACATTGAATTGAAGTTTCAATCTTTCATGAAGGATGAGAGCCTTGTTTGCAACTGGCTCTTGATCTTTAGGAACTTTGATTTAGGCTCTCTTCCATTTGTTCATAAAACTAGTAATTGAAGACATTTCCCTCATCCTCATCTATGATGAAATAATGTTAAGTTCCTTTTCTTGATTAATATCTCGAAAGGAGAGGATGAACTTCCAAAAGGATTGTGTAACGTATCGCCGATAGCCTCATGGTTCTAAAATGCGTTTGTTAGGGAGAGCTTTTCACACCCTTATGAGGAATCCTTTGTTTTCCCTCTTTAACCGATATGGGATCTCACAATCCACCCCCTTGGGGCCCAGCGTCCTCAAGGGGGTGGAATCCTTTGTTTAACGTATCGCCGATAGCCTCATGGTTTTAAAATGCGTTTGTTAGGGAGAGCTTTTCACACCCTTATAAGGAATCCTTTGTTTTCCCTCTTTAACCGATATGGGATCTCACAATCCACCCCCTTGGGGCCCAGCGTCCTCAAGGGGGTGGAATCCTTTGTTTAACGTATCGCCGATAGCCTCATGGTTTTAAAATGCGTTTGTTAGGGAGAGCTTTTCACACCCTTATAAGGAATCCTTTGTTTTCCCTCTTTAACCGATATGTGATCTCACAATCCACCCCCTTGGGGCCCAGCGTCCTCGCTGGCACACCGTTCGGTACCTGACTCTGATACCATTTGTAACAGCCCGAACCCACCGCTAGCAAATACTGTCCGTTTTGGCTTGTTATGTATCGTCGTCAGCCTCACGGTTTTAAAACACGTCTGTTGGAGAGAGGTTTCCACACCCTTATAAGGAATGCTTTGTTCCCTTTTCTAATCGATGTGGGATCTCATGAACGGCATATCAATAAGTCGTATTTTCAATTAGATTGCTACACTTGGGGTTTGCTTTTATATATATGTGCGCATGCGCTAGTGCCTGAGCCATCTTATTCGACCTCAACTAAATTTATCGGATAACTACCTCACTCTGCAATATTTGGCATCTGACACATAATTGGATATTCAATCCTAGGTTGATATCCACCTAGCAGCGAACGTCTATTGTCATGTTTTTTTTTTCGCGACTACGATGAGATGTTGAAATACTATATTCTTTATGTTCTGCAGGAGATCATGCCAGGGCCAGACAATTTGACTCCAGAGAATATGGTAATAAGAAAACTGATGAAGCAAGAACTGAAGAGGCTTCTTAGTACTCTAAGCAAAAGAGAAGCACACATATTGACCTTGTACTTTGGCCTCAATGGACAGATTCCTCAGTCGTTTGAGGAGATAGGAAAGTCGTTGAATCTTTCTCGAGAGACGATTCGACAAACCAATATTGCCACATTGGCGAAACTAAAGAAGTCTAACATTCTGGACTATCTTAAAGATTATCTAGTGTAGATATTTCAAGCTATGAGGAAAAGTTACAAGCAAAGATTTATGAACTATTGAAGGATTTGCAGAGTATTATTTGTATGCATCCAGGTTTAATTCTCTGTAGTACATCAAAAGGAGCTATCCAAACGCTTGCAAACGAGTTGAAACAGGTTTGGTCGATGCACGTAGAACGGTCGAAGAACCGATCTTTTGTTTGAATAATCAAGTGCTGGTGTATGTAATAAATAAGAAACCGAGTCGATTGATGTTTAGATGATGTATTCTTATTGTTTTATAAAATTAAGTGCTGGTATGTGACATGAAGTTTATGATACCACTGAAAGCTGATTATAGAGACTAAAATAGTGAAACTATCATGAATTCTATTAGAAATTATAAACTCATTGTTCATTTACAATCAATTTTTGTTAAAAAAAGGTTAAATGAGATGTCTTCTAGCACGTAGATCTTGGAAAGCTATGTGAAATCAAGCAACTATCTAATTTGATCTAAACTCAAGATTATAGTCTTTCGAGGTTTAAATTGTTTTGGTTTATATCATAATCAATTGATGAAAAGGAGAACAAAGTTATGAATGGAAGTGGAGATTAAATGTGATATGAG